AACTTGCGCTACGCCTCGAAGAGAGTTAAGCTTGTATTTACATTAGTCACATAAGTGCTTACCAGCATTTATGACTTGTAAATTTCACCGATAACATTAGTCCAAATTGTAAGGTATAAGAGGAACTAGTTGACCGTGTAAACATTTTAAAATCGTAGTTCGAAGGCGATACAAATAGCACCCACACTTGGCGTTTCTCAAGTGCATATATTATTAATTTTTATCGATATTTCCAACTTTTCTGTTGTCATATTTTTAATATTTTTAATATGTTTACTTAGAAAATAAATGCAACGATAACATTATCTTGCGGTTATTATCAAAATATATAATGAACCGGCTTCGAGAGATAATATATTGAAAATATAAAAGAGAAAAAAAAAAAAAAATTTCAAATATTGTTTAAAAAGGAAAACGAAAACTATATTCAAATATTTTTTACAAACGATTTCTTATAAATTTTCACCAAAAAAACAACCTTATGTGAGAACCAAAAAACTTTACAACCAAAACATATATATACATATTTTTTTTTTAAATACAATTTCAAAAATTCGAGATATAAATCTCTCGTTGAATTTTCACTCTATTCGAAACGAATAATCGAAACGCGCGACGAATGCGTCTCGCATTCGGGTCAAGCTTAATCTAAACGACCTTTGCGACCAAGATATCGACGTGAAAAAAAAAATTTTTTTCGATATATATATATATTTCGAAGGACAGCCGAGGAACGGGACAATAGGAAAGTCGTAGGTTGGAATAAAATACCGTGTCCCCCGACGCAATTATTTAATTAAACGTCTGGCCTGCTGGTGCAACTCTCCATCGTATCGAGCGGATGGAATTTCCTCTCTGCCTGCGACCTCGAGCCGCTTGGATCGAGAGAGGGAGGGAGGGAGGAGTATGGATGAAAATCAGTAAAGCGAGCGAAGGTAAATCGCTGTGATTACGTTGTCAACGATACGAATAGGCCTGGTGTGCTGCGGGACACGTAATAACGGTAATGAGAGAAAGAGACACGGGTTAGATTCGATTACAGCAGGCGAGAAGTCGTATTTTCTCGCGGTTCGTTCGTGCTTACGTAAGGCGAATAGGCGACGCATCGATTCAATCCGTTTGCAAATCGTTCGAATCCGATGAGAGTGGCTCGCGCAACCGTTTCGCAGTCGCACGCACGCACGCACGTGTTGCTAAACACCTTTGGGATCTCGATCTCCATGGAATCTGTTTGCACAATTTTTCTTCTTCTTTCCCTCTTTCTTCCTTTTTTGCCGAGCAAAGACTCGTAGACAACGTACACAACTCGGGTTTCGTAACTCACTCCATTAAGGGAATAAGTAGACGTAATTTTTTGTACGATCATACGTTTGTTAGAAAAAAGAAGGAGAAAGAGGAGGAAACGATAATTCCGTTCGAAAATTTCCTTTTTTGCTTCGTTGAGGGATATACCGGTGGATGGAGACGTTTAATTTGTGAACAGGTCCCCGTATCGGCCCCTTAACTCGCCTTATAAATTAGCTACAAGACCACGCGGCCAGATAAAGTAGTATACGCGTGCTTTCCACCTCGGATCGCCCTTTCTTCGAACAGGTAAATGTACACGAAATTAAGATATCCGGCGACGAGGCCGCTAGACTAAATCGTTCCCATTTATATAAGAGCTCTCTCTCTCTCTCTCGCTCGCTCGCTGATCCCGGGCCACGATTTATGCGAGCCGGCCTCGTACAAATTTGCTCTCGACCTCGCGTTGATTTCGTCACTCGATCGTCGCTTGATCGCATCGAACGAACGAAAAGAAACGCCGTAAATTACCCGCCGTAATTTACCGTCGTGTCGCGTTTAAACGGGAATCGGTCACGCTCGGATTCGGACACGATTTGTGATGTTTGCGATTTATCGCGTCGTGGATTGTTCGAGGTTTCCCAAAATTAACTTCTTCTTCTTCTTTTTCCTCTTTCGAGGTCGAGGTGGTGGTCAGTTAAAAACTCGAGTTACGCCCACGCTCGAGTTTGATTCAAACGAGGATTTTCGAGTCGCCACGAATTACGCTTAGCCTCGGGGATAATATTATCCAGGTCGATTCTGTAGCTAGATTCGAGTTACGCGCGCCTGTGTGTGTGTGTGTGTATACACTTTTCATGGCAATAAGTCGGTGGAAATTTTTATTGGACAGGTTTGGTGAGATGGATTCAATTTATATAGAATTCAATCGAATAATTATTATTATTATTATTATTATTATTATTAAAGGAAACGTAACTAAAAAATCGCGATGGTTTATTAACCGGTCGATTATATTTCGATTTACAGGTATTTATTATTATCGAGGGACCACCTCGAAAAATGGGGAAAAAAGGGAAAGAAAGGAAGGATGGGAAGGGGAAGATTTATCTTCCTCCTCGTTTTCGTTTCGGCGAAAGTGGCGAGGGAAATAATTTGTCCGAAAGAAGGTTGTCCGAATGGGTTCACAGGCAGGCAAAAGACAATCGTAGGAGGCAGAGAAATAATATTACAGCGGGAACCCGGCGATAAGGCCGGGGTTACGTGGAGGGAGGGCGAGATAAAAGGAACGAACAAAGCGCGATTACCATTTGTCATGCCAGTAAACGATGCGATGCCGGACGAGCCGTTATAAAGTATAAACGCTGCACGCGGAGATTACGAAACTCTGTCGTGTTGATAATGCGTTTCGCGCGACACGCATGCGAGAGAAATGGGATACGGCCGTTCCCAGATACCTTCCAGCTTACAGGCACCTATTATCAGATCCTTACATCCTCTCCCTCTCTCTGAAGAGATTAAAATCGTTCTGACTTTGATGATCGTTCCAAGGATGGAGGAGGAGGAGGAGGAGGAGGAATAATCGTTGGAAAATTCTAAGAGTCGTCGAATCTCTGGGAAAAGAACAGCACAGGCATGTATTCGCCTGTTACGGTAAACATATAGTTTAATAATAATCACAAAGTCTGGAGACTCTTGTTACCTTTTTTAACGAGTGGAAAGGTTTCGGGTCGAATCGATTGATCGAAAATCGCGGTCATTTGTTGAGAGAGTGAAGGAAAGATTTCGAGGAGACTCTTCGAGAAATCATCCGACTCGAGGATATTTATTCTCGAGCGATATCTCCTTCTTTTCCCTTCTTCTTCTTCTTCTTCTTCTTCCTCGCGCGATTATCGCGAAATCCTGTTGCAACGCCGCACGCGATACCGGAGAAGGGGGATCGGAAAATCGCGTAAGTGACGAGAATTTTCGTTTTCGTTTTCGAGAAACGGCGGTGTAGACGGTGATTCGTGGTACGAGCTGGGGCCGTAAATCGGCGTGTAAGCAGATAAGAGAGCGAGCGTTCGTAAATCGGTAGATGAAACGGAGTTACGACCGTGGCGGCGACGAGTTTCAGGACGACACAGTGTGGGTATAACGGTGGGGCACTTTTCCAAAAAGGAAGATTTCGAGGACTCGCGACAAAGGGCGTCGTAAATTTTGGATTTCTCCTCCACTTCTCGTTGCCTCCTCATCGATTATTAGACGTGGAAATTGTTGAATTCTGCTGATTTCAAGCGAGAGAATCTTTCAAGATCAAGCTGTATTATCTTCATGGACATATTTTCTCGTGATTTCAATCCTTCGATCAAGCTACATTATCTTCTGTGGACGTTCTGTATACGATTCTATCCATCTATCAAGATCAGGATCGAACTTGAACGGTTTTTCGAACGAAGATTTTATTTTCTCGATTTGTTTTCGTATTGGATATTTTCAAGATGGATTTCAAGTTGATTCGTTCGGGAGGATGAAAATCGATGATACAATTAAGGCGAGAAGAGGGTATAGAAGCGTGCCGTGTAAATCGATCGTTTCGCGGCTGGAGGCGAGGGACGTGTGGGACGTTGTTTCTCGTTGGAATGGGTTCCTTGCACACACGAGGTGCCCCTAAAACGCTCGATCTTCGGGAGGAAGGGACACGATTAGTATAAGGCATTCTTGTTATCTTAACAGGGAGAACGAAGGGAGGGGGAAACGGGTTGTGGCACCAGGGCCTCGCCTTAATCTCTCCTAATCATGGCTCTATTTAGATCCAGGGGGACTCCTTTAAGAGGATATCCGTGTTTGACTCGAACGCGCTCGCTTTACGACTCTTTAATCGTACGAAATTTGTTGCTGACCACTAAAAACGTCACCTTTTCCCTCCCCGACACTTCCTCAAAGCCACTCGAGGCTTCCCCAACCTCCTCCTCCGTTCGAGGAGAGAGATCGGTGTGTCGGGTGGAACGTTTGTCGATACGATGTATACGATCCTCCACGTTTAAGATTACGCTGTTTCTCTGAATAAGTATCGATATCGCGGCGATTCGATAAGGGATCCTTTGTTCGAAATCCTTCGAACGAGATTAGCTAGGATTTCATAAAAATCCTCTTTTCTTCCAAGATATATTTCCACGAATGATTCGAAATATTGTTCCCTTAAACGGGATTCGTTGGAGAATAAAAATAAACTACTTTCGATGCAACCGATCTTCTTCTAAAAATTTTAGTTTCTTAAACGAGAGCGATACGGGGGGGGGGATGGAAGGGCCGTTTTTCAAGATTGGGCCGCGCGATCACCGCCATAAAATTAATGGCATCCACGGTTTCCGATGGCTGTTTCACCCCGGTTGGCTCGCGGCCTGATTGCCCGCGATCGGATTCCGCTGAACGATCATCCCCGGATCCATTGAACGACTGATTACGATCGTTTCGCAGTTATCGCAGCGATAAAAATCATCCGCTCCTCTTTGACTATCAATTCGAATTGAAATTGCTACGCCGCTCCCTGCCCACCGGGAGGATAACGTACTCGCGTCATTAACGTCAACTACCGATACTTGATGATCGTTACGAGCATGGGCCAATTACTCATACCCCACTCTCTCTCTCTCTCTCTCTCTCTCTCTCTCTCTCTCTACTACTACTACTACTACT